TCAAATTTGTCTGAAACTAGCCAAGGGGTTAGAAAACCACAAAGTTTGCAGAAATGAAGTATAAGTGGAAGTAACTACATCCACAACTGAAGGGAATGTACTGTGTTTCTGAACTCAGTTTCTATGGTACAAACATGATGCTGCTCAGCTCTCAAAATGATGATTAGTAATAGGTTTTTTTCCTTAGTTTCCTGTTATAAATAGTTTTATTGACCTCTATATTGGCTTTTACAGTGTTCTGTTTTGTTTACTAAACACTGCACTTGTCCAATAATCTGGATGTATAAAAGTGTGTACTTATAGGGAAATGGAAAATTATGAGGGGGGGAAAAGACCTGAGAAATTAGTATTATTTACCAATTATATTATTGGTATCCTCCAGGTGTTTGTGTTTTATAGCGTTTTTTATAGCTAGAGGACATTAATATGCTGGAATAAAAAAAAAAGGCTGCTATCAGATAGCGTCTACTCTCTACATATACATATAATACTTCTCAGATATAGAGAACTTTTTAACTGCTGGCAAAAAAATAATTGCTATTGAAAAATAATACAATATTAAATAGCAAAATACTAAGTGTTCTCTATTTTGATATCTGGAAAACCTTCAATAAAGTTAAAAAGTGAGTTTCCTGTAAAAGAAACAAAGCAATAGAACTTAAAGGACTAGTAGTCACTGCATCAATTTTTAACTAGGTAAATATTTTGATGCTTCCATTTGTCTTATTCATTAACTACCTTACGTGAAGGAGCATATATTTTTAAATGTGAAGTTCTGCACAAAACTGAGATACCATGTTTCCCCTCTTTTAATGTGATGTCAATTGTGAAAAAGCATATGAAGGGCAGATTGAAAATTTATTAAGCAATTTGAGACTGGATGAGATTTTTTGTTACAGAGAAAAGATGGACACAAACTGCGCCAGAAACCCTAGTAATAATATTTATCTTAGTGCCTATGTACAGCATGGGAAAACAGTGTTTGTATAGGCAAGTGCAAATCTATTACTTCCTTGTGAAATATTCCATTAGCAAATATATATTATTATTACTGCTGAGTAAAATTAAATACATGTTTATGCAAAGACAATGAAAGACTTCTTAGAAGAGGGTATGCAAATTATGTATTTGAGAGAGAATGACCAATAAAGTCTATTTATTACAACTTTCTTCCAAGACCTAAATAATCCTGAAGTGCAGTTTCCACAACTACAAAATGAAAGGTCAGCATTGCCTGTGTAGGGTCTGTTGACAGTTCTGTCCTCCTTATCTTCCTGAACAGTCAGAGTAAGTTTGGTAAGAGAAATAACATTGTTTGTGAACCATGTTTATTTATATCCTCACCTGCTGGACTTTGATCAGTATATTATACAGTGACTTTGGATTACAGACTGTTTGAAATAGCCTGAAAGACATTCTAGGCAACTAGAAATGCTACCAGCCCCGCTGCTCTCATTTTACACCTGGTAGTGAATTCTAGCAGCTCCCAGGGGAGGCTGCAGGCTGGTATTACTAAGGTTCATCTCCGGGCGTACAGGCAGTCAGGTACACTGCAGGGGTGCCTTGTATGCTGGGGACAGTTGGGCCCAAAACTGAAGAGTTTTATGAACTTTGCTAAAACCTTTGTCCTCCTTGGCTTAGCAGTGACATGCAACCGCTGGCACATTGCAAGGGAGAGGGTAGTGGATGACAAGGAGGTGATGTGTCATGTTAGAGGAAACACTGACCAGCTTATAACAGAGTGTAAACTTCACACGCATTCAGGTGCCTGCCAAGTAGAGCATGGCTGTGCCAAATCTGAGTAAAAAAAGTACACAGAAGAAAGTTAAAAGGTTCTTTACAGGGCAACAGGCACATTTTCTGTTTTCAAACTCACATTATCTAAATATTCTTATCTTGTTAATGTTATCTTAAGTCTCTGCTGTGCTGTATGTGTGCACATATAGCTACACATCAGTTTAATAACCAAATTTTCTGGTGACATCCCCACCAACTTGAAAGCATTAGAGATGCCAATGATCACACTTGTATACGGTGAAAAAGAATTATTTTTTTTTTCTTTTTCCCTGTAGAGTTGTTAAAGCACATCCATTTTCCTAACTGAAAAGCCATTGCAACCTTTCTCTATATGCCACTTATGCATAAAAAGGCAACAAAATTAATTAAAGTCTAGATTAGCATCCATTTTCCATCTGCCATGTGTGTAACAATTAAAGCCATCTTCTCATTCCTGTCGCTCCTGGAAGGTAAGAGAGAAAGCAGGAAGGGTTCTGTTACCTACAGCATGGTGAAGCAACCAAGCCTGGCAACAGGGAACCGATCCCCCCTCAGAGTTAGACCTGTGGGGATCAGCTGGTGCACTGCTGGAGCTGCCCTGGAAGAACAACTGGGACAAAGAAAATGGCAGAAGCTCAAAGGAAAGGTAATCAGTCCTGTGATGTTTTATGCAAGGGATGTCACAATATAAGTGTTTTTTACGGCTTGTGGTCACCAGGCTAAGAACATTAGCGGCCAATTGGGGTGGAGGCTTTAGGCAGATGGGAGCCTGCCTTAAGCAAACTGCTGAATGAGGAGGTGTAACCAGCCCAGGGGAGAGAGAGGGAAACGCTGCAACATGCAGCAATTAACAGCTCAGCAGACATTACTTTACCTCTTTTGGAGGTGGTAATGAGCTCCCTGGAGTCCACCTCCTCTCCAGCTGTTTGTACGGGACACTCTTCTCCTTCTTGTCCTATCTCCCGCCTTACCTGTATGTAGCCATCCCTGTGTAAGTGTACAAAGACAAGCAGTCTTTGTACAGCTATTAAAAATGTGTATTTTGAGCTGACCTGGTATTATTGCCTCTTGACAAGGTTGCCTGACACTGTAGGTGCCTTAGGAGGGTTATGTCTTTGATAAATGACAATTTTTTAGGCTGGTTTTTCCCACATGAGTACTGCTGCAAGCAAACTCTTTTGGTGAAGGGAAATATCGGACCAGATTAGCCACTTCTAAATGAGCTGTCATTTTCACAAGTGCTATGGAGAGAAGAGGAAGATTTTTGGGCAACTACAAATCTGTCAAAGCTCTAGTAAACTGCTTTCCTCCTTTCTTACTAAGTCAAATGAAGGCAGATGGACTTTGCCATAAGAACTGCCTGTGGTCCTTCAGCAAAGGCATTTACAGAAGGGCTTTGAAGGCTTTTTCTGGAAAAACTGTGTTACCTCAAGGGTACAGGACTGGAGCTTGAGCGGGAAAGGCTGAAGTGGGGATAGGAAGCCAAGGCAAGCCCTGGTCAGGAATAGGGCAGAGGTGGGAACACCTAAGTGTTCCCTGGAGTGGAAGAGGCAGCACATGGCAATACCTTCAGAATAAGTTATTAGTGGAAAAAGGTCCAGTGGAAAAACCTAAAGTAGTTCTTATGTGGGCATCTGAGGGCCTTTTGGAAAGCATCTGTGAACACCAATATTAAAGAGGAGCACATTGATTCCCTGAGTAGAAAAAGAAGTCCCAGAAGCATTCCAAAGCTGGAAACAGGGCTGGGCTGGGAGGAAGAAAGGAAGGATGGCAGATGATTTTCAAGAAGCTGATGAAAATAGGGTGGAAATGAGAGAGAAAGCAGTGGTATGCAAACAAAGGGACACTCTGGAGCAGCAAAGTACACAAACCAGAAGAAAGGATTTAAGTAAGAAATGCTGAGGCATGTAAAATATAAGATGTGTTTTGTCTGTAGGTGATAGGGTGCAGGCAGCTGGATCTGGATACAAGAATAATGGTTTAGAACTGACTGGAAAGGTTAAAAGTACTGCAAGGGAAGAGGAGTTTTCAAAAAGACTTGATTTAGCTGATGAAACATGGAATTTCTCATTATTCTTTCACAATAATCACTACATGAAAGTTTCTCACCTACACTGTTTCTATTCTTTTGTGTCTTTACAGCACAAGGAAAAAGAGGCAAACAAACAAAGAAGAAAAATGCTTAGGTCAGTGCAAGGAAAAATCAAAAACCTGAAGCATTTTGGGCACAAGGACGACACTGTAGTCAGGGCTGGGGGTCTCGCTGAGTGCTAGCAGGCAGTCAGTGCCCTTTCTGTCCCTGGGTAACCCTGTGTGTAAATGGCGGTCAGGTCTTGGGGTTTTTTTGCCATTTGTAATATTCCTGGTGCTGCCTGGGAGGAGTGACCCCTCCCTGTAGGACGGGCAAGAGAAGCTTTGTGCTTGCTGGAGGGGGCACGTGGAGTCTCTGGGCACCATTCCTGCTGTAGGCAAAGCAGGGCCTGTCAGCCACGGTCCCTGCCTGCTGGCGGTCTGACTGAGCGGGGTGACAGCCCTGCTCTGGGGCTGCGTTACAGCATTTGCCTTCTGGCAGCCTATGAAGCAGCTCAGCACACTGAGCCCTGAGGACCTCCATGCTCCAAGTCCACGGGACACTCTCATCCTCAGTGGCACCTCGGCAGGGCTGCCAGGGGCACATTGGTTGTCCAGCATTAGGCGGGACATCAGGAGGAATTTCTTCACAGAAAGGGTGAGCAGACATTGGAGCGGGCTGCCCAGGGAGGTGGTGGAGCCACCGTCCCTGGAGGTGTTTAAGGAGAGACCAGACGTGGCACTCAGTGCCACGGTCTAGTTGACGTGGTGGTGTTCGGTCATAGGTTGCACTTGATTATCTCTGAGATCCTTTCCAACCTTACTGAGTCTGTGATTCTGAGATTAAGGCAGCGCCGCCTCCGGCGCTGCCCCCCCGGCCCAGCCCGAGCCCCGCGGGCTCGGCGTTGCCATGGCGGCGGCGGGGGCGGACACTTCGCGCTCCGGCAACGCGCGCGCACACACCCGCCATTTAGGGGCGGGGCGAGCGTTACGCGCGGCGCGGACTCCGCAGCGATTGGGCGGGGCGGGGCGGGGCGGGGCGGGCGTGACGCGCGGCGCGGACCCCGCAGCGATTGGGCGTGGACGCTGGCGCGCGCGCGGCGCTGTTGGCGGGAGGCGGTGGCTGCGGGAGCACCGGCGGCGGCGGCGGCGGCGGCAGCGCAAGATGGCGGTGGAGCCGCAGCGAGAGGCCGTGTGGCCCGAGGGCGCGGGGGCCGACGCGGGCTTCGTGCGCGCCGTGCTCTCGCTGCCCGAGAAGCCCGAAACCACCGTGCGCTTCTTCGAGCGCGGAGACTACTACACGGTGCACGGCGCCGACGCGCGGCTGGCGGCCCGCGAGCTCTTCCGCACCCGCGCCGTCATCCGGCAGCTGGCGGGGGCACCGGGTGGGTGGGGGCGCGGGGGAGCCCCGGGGTCGCGACTCGCCTCCCCCGGGGCTGGCTGCGGCGGGGCGGGACCCGGGTGGCCGGAGGGGAGCGGCGGGCATGGTGGTGGCAGCTGCCCCTGGTAGCCCCAGGTAGCCCCTGGAAGCCCCGGTAGCCGGTGCAGCGGTGCCCCGTTCCCAAGGGCAAGGCCTGCGGGGTGTCACAGGGATCTGGTGGCGTCTTGGGCAATATGATTGCACGATATTTTCTGTACTAACTGAGGATGGGCCTCATAGCGTTCCATGGTGCAGGTGATGGGTAAATAATGGTTTATTATTTACCATTGAATAACGATGGCCTGCAGAAGTAAGTAACATTTTATTATGAATTGCAGAAGGCTTTCTCTACCATCCACCCACTGATGGTTTTAATTTATTTCCTGGTGTATGACAGAGCTTGGAGATGTCAGATGTAAGAGCATCAAGATAAATTATCTTGTCAGAAGAGACAAACCTTAGTATCAACCTTAATCTTGAGGAACACAGTGTTGCTAAATTATTGGCTTGTACTTTGCAAAATAAACCTCTTTGTAATGAATGAAGTTTTCTTGTGTGTGAGCAATGGCACTAAAAACAGAATGACATTCTCGTGCTCTTCACTTTTTATTGTGATGAGCTCACATGTAAAAAAAAATAAACCAAAGAAACTCCAGCCCCTCCTCAAAGCCACTAAGCTTGATGTGTCTTTCAGACTAGAAACACATGCATCAGTATTATTTTTGTATTCCATTCAAAAGTGATAATTTTGTAGGTATAATCATGTGACTGTGAGCTCCAGTTTTAAACCCTTTAAAGTCTTATCCACCATATCCAGTTTAAAGTCAGAATAAAACTAGACTTTTTACTTTCAGAATGATTTCAAAGCACACATAAACATCAGCTGCCCCCCTGCTAGTGTATTATGCTGTCTCAACTGAAAAAATAAGAAAAATTGTGGGTTTTTGGATAGTTCTGCTTTGTGAAAGAAAACCTAATTATGTAGAATTAGGTTTTTTACCTGTTTTAAAAAAAAAGTCTTATTAGATGTTTGAGGAAAGAAGAGGAAAGAAAATAAAAAAATCCTGTCTAAAATAAAACAATAAGGTCCTATGGGTATGGAAAGTCACTATTTAACGTCTTTCACGTAAGGGAGGAAGGGCCTCAAATGTGAGGAAGGCATGTTACTAAAAAGAGAGAGGTGATGTTCAGTATCTATTGCTTGTACTTGGTATGTCATCTAGCTCTCATGTATCTGACACCAGTCTGAGTTAATTCCACTTCCCAATCTGGCAGAAAACTTAATGTACTCACCTGAAATCCCAGTTTGTTCAATAGTGGAACTGCCTAATTCTGTGAGTAGGCTGCTGCTGGAGGTGGGGAGGTAGAAGTTGTGTTGCTCCTCTGGGCAGCTGTGTGGAAATAAATTTGTTCAGCTGCATCATCTGCCTGGACACCTCAAGGAACAGAAGCAAGAAGTTTTTAAATTAAGCACTTCCTAAGTTAGATGTTCATGTAAACTATGAATGGTTTAGGGTTTTTTGAGAATATATTGTTTTTACAGGATATATTGTGATAAAAGGGAAGTGTCTTGCCATCTTCTGAGTGTGATTAGGGTGACAGTCTGTTCTGTCAACAGAAGCTGCTTATCCAGGAAAGAAAAGATGTCATCCAGAAGGAAAACCGGTAGCAGGCTTCTATCACTCATTAGATCAAAATGTGTGAAATGTTAATTAGTAAACCAAGTCAAGAATATCATAATGAGAGGGGAAGGGTGAGGAGAACAGATCTCTTTGTATATATTACCATACAGATTTAGTGAAATTTGGAAATGAACACTGTTTTTATTTGGAGTTGGAGTATGCTTTCTTCATTAGTTTTAGCCAGCTGATTGTTTTGGGGTTTTGTCATTTCATGGATTCTACGTGTTTGCTTGTTTGATATTAGAATAGTGACTTTCCTGAAGGCCGTTCTTGGGGGTTTTGATTACAGAAAATAATTTTTTATGAACAATTAATAAGTGTCTTCTTTTTTTTTTTTTTTTTTTTAGGAACTCAGAAACTCGAGAGTGTTGTGCTTAGTAAAATGAACTTTGAATCTTTTGTGAGAGATCTGCTTCTGGTCCGTCATTACAGAGTTGAAGTTTACAAGAACAAAGCGGGGAGCAAATCTGTCAAAGAAAATGACTGGTATTTAGCTTACAAGGTATACTGTTCAACCTTTCTTTGTAACTATGAGATGAAAGAAAAAAACCCATCAATCTTTCCTGAGTTTCTCTGCTTGGAGTTTTGGGATTTTAACGGACCGACATGGGTGGTATGATGGTAAATCATACGGGTTTTTAATATGTTGGTTATATATCTGTTATATGTCACTGTATTTTCTACTGATATAAGGCTGAAAGAGCTTGTTCTGTGTCTTTGCCATAGGTTGGGAAATAAAGGAAACACAAAGTACTTTGCTCTGTGTAGATGATACGTAAAATTTGAATAGTTAAAAAATAGAACAGCTATATATATTATATTAGTGGACTGTTCAGTACTTAGTTTTATCATTTGTTGTTCTTCTTAAGGACAAAAAAGAAAGTATGTGTATATACACGCTCTTAAAAAAGTATTTTTCTTTTTCTAAATAGGGTTCTCCAGGAAATCTTGCCCAGTTTGAGGAAGTTCTCTTTGCCAACAATGACATGTCCACGGCCGTTGGGGTTGTGGGGGTTAAGCTGTCTACTGCTGATGGACAAAGAGTAGTAGGAGCCGGCTTTGTTGACACCACGCTGAGAAAATTGAGTGTTTGTGAGTTTCCAGATAACGATCAGTTCTCAAACCTTGAAGCTCTCCTGGTTCAACTGGGACCGAAGGAGTGTGTCCTACCAGGAGGAGACACTGCAGGAGAGATGGGAAAACTGCGACAAGTAAGAGAACCATGGTGGCTTACAGTCATACAAAACTTTGTCTAGAAAGCCATATTCTATTTTATTAGCTAGGCTCTATGATTTGTGGAAAAATTAAGGACCAACATGTTAACTTGAGGAAGTTTTGATTTACACAAATTAAATGTATCATGTGTCTGTTGACTCACTTGATTTTGATCAGGAAAAGTTGTTCTAAAATCTTGTCTGTCATTCCACTCTCTGCAACCTAGCAGGAAATAAATATGTCTTCAGTGTTTGCTTCCATCTGTCTCCTGAATATTGAAGGTAATTGATAACTCTGTGAACAACAGGTCGTTCAGAGGGGAGGAATCCTGATTACAGACAGGAAGAGGGCAGATTTCACAACAAAGGATATTGTTCAGGATCTCAATCGCTTGTTAAAATCAAAAAAAGAAGAACAAAAGAATAGTGCAGCACTGCCAGAGATGGAAAAGCAGGTGAGCACAGAGCAATGTTTAATGTTCCTTTGTTTTTTAGAAGTGGAGTGGTGTGTGCACCTGATGTGACCTGATCTCCTCTACACTCTTGCTGAACTGTTTAGCAATTCTGCTCAGCCTGAGTCTGTGTCAAAGCTGGATACCAGGTGGTCCTGGAAAAAATTGAGAAAACCCTTCGCTTATCTCTTTAAAGTAGTAAGCTCTGGTAAGCAAATAGACTGCACAAGAGGTGCCTCCTGTTCACAATCCATCTAGCCTAAGGACTGAAATACAATTTGCATGACAGGAAAATTGGTATTTGAAAACAAAGTGATGTTTATGATAATATTTTTGTGTTGTCTTGTGGCTTAAGTATGTGATTTAGTGCCTGTATGTTTGTTCTTAGCTGCAAACAAGAGGCAATTTGTTGAGATAAACATGCTTATAAAATGCCCTTCACTGCAGATGCTCACTGCAGGTGTAAGGTTCACAGTTATACTCCCTTAATGTGTCATTTCATAGCAGATTAAAATTTTTTCAAGTGTGTTGCAGCTGAACAAGTCAGTCATGCTGCCGCCTTTCTTTTGTAGTGGCGCTAGAGTTTGTAATGCCATGCAGCAAGTCAGATCAGATCCTTGCTCTGGCTGAAAAGTAACCCTGAAACTATGCCCTGAGATGATCCATGATATCTCATTTATCTGCAGCAACTTGTTTGTGTTCCTGAGCTGGAAACATCCTGATAACAGCTTTGGAAAGCTGGCAAGGTGTGCACTTCACATTTTGTTTATCAGATTATGCAAATGTGGTCGTTGTTCTTGCACCTACCTAGAAAGACGCTGCAGTGCCATGGGACATCCCTATGGAAATGAAGTCTTGTCAAACAGGATGAGTCTTTCATAGCCCTGCCAGAATTCACATGGCTCAAAGTCTTCCCCAACTGTAATTTTCTAGGATCGTTGATCAAATACTCTCAGATTCAGGAGTGTTTCTAACTAGAATGTGGTGTGTTTTTTTAAAAAAACTCCAGGTTGCTGTTTCGTCCTTGTCAGCCGTTATCAAGTTTTTAGAGTTGCTGTCAGACGAGTCTAATTTTGGACAATTTGAACTGACTACTTTTGATCTCAGTCAGTATATGGTTCTAGATAATTCAGCTGTTCAAGCCCTCAACCTTTTTCAGGTAAGAAATACATACTTGAGTTAGTAACTGTTTTACAGTTAGCTGCTTGCTAACTAGCCTAAATACCCAATCGCAACTCCCCAGATCCTGATTAATGGCAACTTGTGCATCTTAACTTCGTTTTCATTTACTCCTCCTCAATGTGTGACTTAAACATCTAGCTACTGTTGCCACCTTTTTTTGTTTTTGTTTCCTGTTAGTTTGTGTTAAGTGTAGAAGTGAAGAACATCCAGGAGGTACGAAGTGGCCACAGTGTACAGTGCAGTGGGAAAAGCCATAGCAGTACCTCATGGTTTTAGCTGCTGAGGTTAAGCAGTGGGGGGAATGCTGTGTCTTTCCTGGGGTTTAGTCAGAGAAGTTCACATCTCCAGTGGCAGGAGCAGATTTGGGGTGTGGGAGGGGAAGAGAGTTGTGTACTTTTGTGGTATGATAGGGAGTGCCAAAGCACAGTTGCTTTATACAGTAGTGCTGTTTGGGGAAGAGAACACAAGCCTGAATTAGATGGTTATAGGGGAACATGTAGCATATGGCAGGAGCACTGCTGGTGGTGACGGGAAGGGAGGGCTGGCTGCAGGGCAATGAACAGGACAGTACTTGAGAACATTCTGAAAGCACCATGTCATGCTAACTGGATGATGTCAATTTTACTTTTTTACACACATTTTCTACAAATCCAAACAGATTACCAGGCTCCTTCATACCTCCCACCATGTCTGTTTTTCTGCTTTGCCCCTTTTTATAGTTGTAGGAAAATGTGGTGTGTTGGATCAGCTTTTCTCTTTTGTTTCCACATTAGTAAGGCTTGGTTAGTGATCTTTGCTTGGACCTAATCCACTTGCCTTTCGGATTGATAGGAAGAAATCACAGATAATGGTCCACTGTTTACCTTAGAGTAGTTTCTAGAGGAAAACAGAGCATATATTCAGCATCTGAGCTGGCTAACCCTGGAGAGAGAAGTTCTGAGTTTTATTTGGGTTTTGTTCTTTATTTCCTGGTGCTGTGCCACCGTCTAGGGAATGAAGCAAAAATCGTATCTCTTCTCCATATTTGTGGAGGTGTTCCAGGAAGTTCTGTTTTAGCTGCATTCCTTTACAAGTCCTTGCAGGTGTTACACGTTTTGTGATAGGAAATCCAGTGCCATGTCTATCTCTAGGGGCTTTGGAGCCAACGGTTTGCCATTTAGCAGGAAGCTGCCTGTGGGGAGGTTTTTGGACAGTTTGAGTTGCCCTGTGAGGTATGTAGGTAAATATCTTATGGTGCAGCAGATGCAGTTGGTTATATGGAACTGTACCTTGCAAATGGAATGTGCTGAAATAGGTAATTTGTGTATAATGTCTGTACTCTGTGACACCGTCTTACATTCAGAAATTTTTCATGTGCAATACTGTTCAGAAAACTGAAAATGGGCACATCCACTTTAGATATTAGATACTCCAGGGGCTAAATGTGTCAGTATTCCTTCTCACTGTGTTCATTTCCTGTTGTCAGGGTTCTAGTTCTACATCCAAATTGTTCACAGGCATCCAGACCTGCTCCTGGCTGAATACTTGCCTGCTGTTTTAATTGCAGCTGTTCTTGTGTGGAGAGGGTTGAGATTTTAATTTCAAGTCAAGAGTTGAAACAACCTTGATCTTTTTCGATAATAAACAAAATTTTTCCTTCCTAGCTGTTTGTGCAAAAACCAAACAAAACCTCAAGAAAAATGCCCAAAACTCTGTCTTAGGTCCAGCTAATATTAAACCTAAACTATAGATAGTAAACTATAGCCTGAACAGAGCAAGTTTAGAAATGTTTTGTAGTACTCCGAAGATGATCTGGGGAAGCATGATAGTTGAATAGAAAAAAATCCACTGACCTGTTCCTAAGTAACAAAGTTGTGTGCCATTCATTGAGTGTCAATAAGCTTCACTAACTTTCTTTTTTTTCTTTTCAGAGTTCTGTGGAAAATGGGAATACTGCACAATCTCTAGTTGGTTTACTCAATAAATGCAGAACCCCTCAAGGACAAAGACTAGTTAATCAGTGGATCAAACAACCGCTTATGGACAAGAACAGAATTGAAGAAAGGTAACAATATTATGTGTTTGATAGACTTACACAAGTTAGTAACTATTTTATATAAGGCTCTTTCTTTTTAAGCACAAATCACTACAACCAAAGAATAATAGTGGTTGGAGACTTTGGTGTGGTATCCTGTAATGCATTGTAGTCAGAGCAGAATATATTTTTCCTTGAGATGCAAAGTGACAGGTTACTGTTAGATTAAATGCTTTTTACAATTATGTATTTTAAAGAGGAAGTACAATATGTTTAGATGATCTAAGTGATTCAAATGATTCTGTGCTACAGGCTAAGGCAGTGTAGCAGCTGCTTCCTAACTGTCGTTAATACTGCAAGTGCTCGGTCTGTGTAATAATATTTTGATGTCACTTCAAGTTTACCACTTAAAAAAAAACCAAAACAGCAAAACACCCAAACAATGAAGCAGTAGTAATATCTTCCTTTTTCCAGAAAAAAAACTACTTTTGGTTTGGCAGTAGGTCACTCTTATCATATCTTGCCTAGATATTGTGAGCCCGAGTGCAAGGGGTCTTTTTCTTTCTTGCTCTTTGATCCTGCTGTCACTGTGTGGCTGCCCTACCAGTAGATAGCAGTATCAGTTGATAAGAAGCCTTAGAGAATCTGGCAAGTCTCAGTCCTTCAGAAAGGAAAACTGCAAAGGTTCTATTCCTACTGTGTTTGTTTGTCTTGGTTATGTTCACCATGCGAATACAAGTTTTTTGAATTCCTGCTAAATATAGCTGCATTCTTATGATCTAAAACCAAACTTCATGCAACTCTACTGATCAGCAGGTTAATGCATTGCAGAATATGTATTAAAATGTATCTTGACAAAGCAGAAGAGGCTGGAAGACTGGATTTAACTTTGATAGCTTCTCTAACACTCATATTTTAGATGAGGCATTGCAGGTATGTCTGTATATGCTGTTGGGCTTTGGCACAGATCCCTACTACTGAAAAAGAAATTTTGGCTTGGACATGCTGATATTTAAATAAACTGTGTAGTAGTTGTTGTGGTTTAAGTCCAGCTGGCAACTAAGCACAGCCACTTGCTCACTACCATCAGAATGATAGTTTTCTCTCTAGATTTCTGGAGACTGAATTATTCTGCTTGTCTTCGACAAGTTTTTCTACTTTTCCTAATTGTTTGCAAAATGAAGTGTAGCAACTTGATCAGAGCCCACTTAGAAATGTTGTTAATGTGACACTGAAATATTTGTTCCCGGGTTTATTGAATGCTACATCTTACCTCCTGCATGTGTTACAAAAGCTTTTATTGTTCTTGACTAAGTACCCAGGATCTTCTGCATCTGTCAGTTTTGGATCCTAAGATCTGATCCAAGTTTAATTTTAACCGATTTTTTGTTGGTTTTAAGATTTTGAAAGTTATAGCTCCCATTTTGTAATTTTCTTATGTCAAAGTAAACGTTGGAAATTTTAACTTTTGTGTCAGACGTTTGCTCATTGCTGTGCATCAGAAGTCTTCCAAGTTTGGAAGAGATACACTATTTTCTTTATAAAACTGGGGTTGAATTGTAGCAGAAAATGTAACTTGACCTGTTCTGTAGAGTTAAGATCATCTCCACGTTTTGTGCTGCGATTCTGCATGGCTAATGTTGACTGTGTTTAGGAAAAGCTATATTTAAAGGAGGAGGGGAGTAATTAAATGGAGTTCAGTTCTTAGTGAAGCTTGTAAAGGTCAGTGTATCCAAGTGTTACGAAGTTGAAAGAAGTCCATTGATAACCTCCTGTATGTTGTCCAGCCATAGAGTCATTTGAGCTGTAATTTGTTAAAGGTTGTTTGCTTTAACCTTTACTTATGGGCACTGAGATACCATAGTCATACTTTTTCATTTTGTTCTGCTGCATAGCTTAACTTGTCTGAATGCATCTTGCTTTGAGGTACTACTTTGAGAAATTTAATTCTTTGGGATAAAAGCAATGTCATTTAGTCATAAGCTGTTTGTTTGCCATCTTCCCAAACTTCACGTTTTTCAAAGTGTATAGGACTGTTCCTTTTTAAATCCAAAGGAAACAAGCATAAGAGAAGTTGTTAATGGGGCTGATGAGATGTATTGACAGATTGAAATATCTTTTGATAGATTTGCAGTTGCCAAGTTGTTTTCTAAAGGCTTTACAGTATATTGTGGCTGTTTTAAGGATTGCAAACCATAATGGTGTTTTGAGAAGGAAATACCTGGACTGCTCTTCCTTTATGTTAACTTTGTAGTCAAGGGAAGCTACTGATGATTTCTTGGCTTGAAGTGTGCCATGTTGAAGGACCCCATTTAACTCTAACCAGTGCAAAACTTCTCAAAATAAGCAGAACTGCCCAAGCTGGACTGATGTTTGGTGACAGTGTTTTGAAGGAAGCTTCTTGTTTTGGTTGCATAGGAGATATTTTAACTTGCCAATTCTACGCTACTGGGATAATAGTTTTCTGAAAGTTTAACTTTTTAAAAGAAGTTAGGCTGTTGTATTCCTCCACTAAGACCTCCAGGTGGTGCAAGTCATCTTTTGGAGCTAAAGGAATCAACTTCTTTCTGTAGTTTGTAATCTGCAGTATATTGTTAACCTCTATGGATAAATGGAACACAGTGTTGCATCAGTAGTATGTATTAACCACTGATACAGTAACAACAGAAATTAAAGTACATAGTGCACATGCTTCAGATAAAATGATATTTACTGGAACAACTCCTAATGAGAACTGAGAAAATTGGGGCTCCTGATACTTGCCTGTCTTGTAAGACTTGGGGTTCTGCCCTTGTCCACCTGGTTTTCCTTGATTAAGGAAATAATTATTAGTCATAAGCATACAAGATACAGCCCTATATCTTCCATGTGGTGTGTTCAGAAGGCAAGTACATGAAGTTCTTATTCCTTGTCTTGTAGTCAGCATATTTCTGAAATTAAAATGTAGTTGCAGAGACAGGAAGTGCAAATACATGTATTAATTACATAACACAGTTGACTGTAATATAGCAAGCAGCTTCAGTATGTAGTGTTTATTCTTCAGATACTGGAAAGTCTGAGAAATGTGGCACAGTGCAAAAGAGTGCTTGTTCTGTTATGTCTTGAGGAGAGAGTTCATGCTGAATATATTTTATTTTTTCCCTGTTTTTGGGAAAAACTCTGACATTCATACACAGCATAAATAAAAGATTGCAGCTCACCTTTTTAGTCCTTTATATATCTGTGGTTGAACCTCTTATATGCCTGTGTCCCATGGTAGAGGAGATACAGGGGTCTCAGAGGAGTTAAAGGCTGTACTCAAACATCACTTGTTCTAATTCAAGCCTATTTTGAGCTTTTCTCCGGTATTCCTAAATATCACGCTGCATGGGGGCCACATTGTGGAAATGAGCCCTGTCTCTAGCAGAGTCAGAAAGTAACATATTTGGGAAGCTTGAGGTGAATAAATAGCTAGCAGGGTAAAAATTCAAGTTTACAGGATGTTTCCACGAATCAGTCTTGATTGATAATTAAAGTAACAGGTTGTTTAAAAACGAAAAAAGTTCCCCTAACTTGTTCCCTTGAGATGAGAAGAAGAAACATAACCAAAGGCCCTGGCTCTCTTGGAGGACTCAAGTCAGCCCCAGCACCTTCTGGGGTGGAATGTGATACTTGGATCTTTGCACAGGCTGGCAGAGTCGGCTGAGCTCTGGGAGGGGTCAGCAGTGCCCTGGCAGGAGTCAAGGGCGACCCTCCACTGGGCTCCACTGGTAAGAACAGCTCAAGGAACCTGATTGTTCACATCTGCTTGGAAGCTGTGAGGCCGCATCTGGAGTAGTGTATCCAGTGTAGGGCTTTGCAGGACAGGATAGACAAAAGGAACAGGTCCAGCAGAGAGCCACTGAGCAGGTCCGTGAGCTGCTGCCCGTGCGGTGAGTGGGGAGAGGCTGAGGGAGCTGGGTTTGTAGTCTGGTGAGGAGAAGACTAAGGGGCAGCTCTAACTGCTTGTTTCAGCTGCTGAGAGAGTGGGAGTCAGAGAGAAGGCAAAGCCAGGTGCTTCTTGCAAAGGCACAGCAAAACCATGAGACAAAACAGGCACCAACTTCACCAGAGGACTCTCCAAGCTGAATAGAAAGAAAAAAAGTCTCCCCCATGAGGATGGTCAGTCTCTCTCAGAGAGATGAAGGTATCTCTGTTCTTGTTCAGTGTTCAATTGAAATTAGACTTGTTTTGAGCAAGGGCTGGACCTATAGGCCTTGAGTTCAAGGGTAAATTGTTCTGCGATAGGTCTTCACTGCTTTTGTGTTCCTTTCTAACCTGCAGTTGTCCCTGCAAAGCATGGTAGACAGGCTTTGTTGCTTTTTTCATTGTGGTTAGCAGCTCTGGAAAGACCTTCAGTACTTTTCTGAGTACAGGTCAGTACTTCTCCACAGCACAGACTGATTTCAGGCAGCTGAATTAGTATGTTGTGGCCTGTGTCCTCAGTAAGGGAGGGGAAAATGTGACCAGCCTGGAGGTTTGTCTAAATGACCTGATTCAAATGCATTTTAGATGCTCAGAGTGCTCCTAATGCCTTTAAAGAAGCTTCTGAAATACAGGTTGAATCTGAACCACTTGGAAGACAGAAGTATGATTTCTTATTGTCATGGAGATCGTGATGCAATAAATACTTCGCATAAAAGAAGTTGTCATTCCAGTGACATGAAAATGGTGTTGGCTTCCAGTAAGCCTCTAGAAATGTTAGAAAAATGTCACCTTTGTCATTCCAAAAGTTATCATCGCTAAGTTCCCTACAGAAATATTTGGAACTTGAAGCTCCGTGCTTCTTTAACCCTCTCCCCTCCTTTCACCTGTGTTTACTATTTTCAAAACTACCAGTTTTTCTGTGTTTTCTTTGGGTCTACTTGTGAAACTGAGGTTGACATTGAGTGCTGTCTAGAGACATTAAACAAAAGCTCTACTAGTCAGGCACGTGTCACACAGGCCATGTCTTTAGGAAGGAACTTCCATGAAAATGCCAGGCACTTGAAACCTTTTAAAAAGCTTAGATTCTTG